TACTAATCCAGCAGCTGCTTTACGTAAAAGTTGACTAACAGTTTTTGCCATTTTACTTCTGTCATATACACATTAGCAACTCACGCTGTCCCATCCATCAAAACCGTGCTTCTGCCCTCAAGCTCTGTGAAAGCCCTCAACATCACTTGAATACGCCCCTCCCACTGATTAGCATAGGCTTTGCACACAGGTTGAAGTTGAAAATAAAATTGAAAATAAAAACTGAAATAAAAAAGGGTCAATAAAAGTAAATCTTAAATTTACATTTTATTTTTAATTGTGTCACTATAACAGCGTGAACATTAATAACTAGCTTCATTTTAATTATTGATTTGACAGGGACAGGGATGTGTTGTAACAGTGAAAATTAAAATTAAATAATTTCATTTCATTTTCAATTTTGGCAGATATTTTGAAAAACAGTGTCTTAAAATTAAATTGTTGATCTGTTTTTCACTTTAATTTCCAATGTTTATTTAATTTATTTAAAATTGCCAGGATTTACCTTCTATACAGAAAAGCATGTTGAATAAAGATACAATATCTTTACCTTTTAGAGACAAAAGAAAATGATTTCACTCATATTTGTTTACATTTTTGAAATTTTTAATTAACAGAACAATGTTACTTTTCCACATATATTCACATTTTACATTATGTTAGTACATCCAAGTTATCCTAAAACCTAAATGTAAATCTTGTAACCATAATTATGAGATCAAACTACTCAATCAACCAACATTCATGACAAATACTTCATTTGAACTAAACCTTTGAATGAGATGAAAATCTGCCCTTTATGTCCATTAAAGTCAGAGGTATTGAGGAGGTCTAAAATGCATAATGTCTTTAATAGACCCTTTAGAGTAATTACCCTGTATGTTTATATCGATGAACTATATGCTAAGCAATAATTAACAGCACAGACATCAACGGTCCGATGTCACACAAAAAAAAAAAAAAAAAAAACAATGAGGCAATTAAATCCAGTGGCTCTATGCTCCTGCAGGGTCATTCAAAGACTACTGGAAATCACAGCTACTGTAATTACAGCTCTGCACTATTACCACAGTGCTGCCATATGTGCACCAAATACTGTGTTACACTTAATGGTATAGAATGATAAACTCAATCAGAACATATTGGCTTGCCCAATGACAAAAACAACAACAAATAAATAATAAAAAAACAACCATTTAGTTAATATACAGTGGATTTCAAAATTTAAGAATAATTTATTCATTCACTCATTTTCTCTTTGGCTTAGTCAGGGGTCGCCACAGAGGAATGAACCGCCAACTTATCCAGCATATGTTTCAAGCAGCGGATGCCTTTCCAGCTGTAACCCATCATTGGGAAACACCCATACACACACATACTCTATGGACAATTTAGTTTACCTATGGCGCATGCCTTTAGACTTGTGGGGGAAACCGGAGCACTTGGAGGAAACCCATGTGAACATGCGGAGAACATGCAAACTCTAAACAGAAATGCCAACTGACCCAGCCAAGGCTCAAACCAACGACCTTCTTGCTTGGAGTCAACAGCGTTACCCACTGTGCCACCGCACTGCCCGTGAATAACTTATGGTGATTATTATTTTTTTCAGAAATTATGTCTTCAACATTTAAAATTTGAAAGAATTATAGTTTTGTTTTACAAAATAGTGAAAACACAAAAGTTAGACTAGCAGTTAAATACTTTAAATGGAAGGTATCTGAAAGTGTAATTTGTAATCAGTGTCAAATACATCATTTATTTATGCATTCATTCATGCATTCACTCACAGTTTTTGACTGTGCTTCAAACATATTTGCAACTCATAAAATATGGTTAGAAACTGCTAATTTATAACTCATTATTCATATTTACATGTACAGTGGATTTCAAAATTTGAGAATACTTTATAATTATTATTATTTTTCAGAAATAATGCTGTCTTAATCGTTCAAAAAATATTTAAAACATTACAGTTATTACAACTTTTTTTTACAAAATAGTCCTTAATTAAGTAATTTTTGTTTTTATTTTAAACATTTCAATGGTTTGTAGTATTACAACTAACAGATACACATTGTGTACTTACAGCAATGATTCTAGAAAGACTTTGTTCAGCAGGTCCCAAGACGATTGCAAATAAAAATGCAGATTTTAATCCAAGTGATGTGGCAGGACAGTGCAGGACTCGTTTGCATGAAAGTTCTTAACCAAAATATCCCCCAGTTTAAAGGTTAAGGGTACCCTTAATAAAAGTTGGGTTGCAAGAACAAACCAAAAAAATAAATGAAAAAACAAGAAAAAAAATCAACTTAAGTAATCTAAAGCTGCCATTAAATATTTCCTTTTAGTCTTTAGTAACAATTTCCTCCCAAAACATTCTAATCAGCTCCCTTAAACGAACAAATGATACTCAAAATGCAAGCATTCTCAACCCCCCCAAAAAAGTTTTAGATAAAAGACTCACAGGATTGTAGATAAATAACTTAATAAAACCATTTAATAAATAAGCTAATATATACATGTCCGCGCAGGAGTGCATATGAAATTTCACTGCAGCTTCGAAAGACTCTACATAATCCCAGCCTAGTTTTATAGGTCCCCCAAACATAATGTCGAGATAGACTATGTAATTTCCCTCAAGCATACACTGGCACAAGTAGTTTCCGTAATACTGGTTTATTTGGTGGCTTTTTCCCTAAATCCACTGTGAAAACTAAACAATAAATACAAAACAAATGAACTTAATACAAACCAAAGCATATATAAACAAACAAACAAACTTAGGGAACGTCTCGACTCGCTTAACGAAAACAAAATGGCACAGATGATGTGCACTGCAGAGCTCGTTTTAAAGCATTCGCGGTTTGTTATAATCTGTTTACGTAACTATGGCAACTGCGTTGCATGTTGGTGTTTGTTGCCAGAAACTACAGTGAAACGCTTAGAAAAAAGGCACTTAGGTAAAAGTGACAGATAAGAAGTTTGTTGCAACGCTCTTAATGAAATCCCTTACCTCCGGGATTTTTCCCCCTCAGGGACACCGTTAAGTAAAATTACTGAAGGACTTTCAGGCAAGCAGGCACAGGTGTCGAGTGTAAATGACGTCACTTGCAGCGGAAGCGCGGTTGCCCGAGAGTGCAAGTGCAAATATGCAGCCAGACTCTAATGAGCGAAATATGTAAGCAGGTAAAGAGGTACATTTTGCTAGCAGTTTTTGTTTTGGCAAATTGAGACTGTTCTTTCCAGGACTCGAAACATGAATTATTCAGCGGTCAACTCCACTTTGCATCCCAAGTCCATCACCATATGTGCCGAGCTATACTGAGCAAACTGGCGACACTAGAAAAATTGTCCACATGGAGGTCAGTGGTCAGCAGTAGCTTGAAAAGGAACAGAAGCTGTCTGCGACATACCTGCATCATACCGCTCCATATAATTCGTTTTACACACATATTAAGGCAGACATACCTCTGGGTACATATTTCGCGGTCTCCAGAAATGTAGACAGGTGTATGTATTAACAATGAGTCAGTGTAGGAAATATGTTTAAAAACTGCTCAGATATAACTCTATCTCACTAAGCAATGGCCTAAAAGTTTTGTAGTTAGCATATAAATTCCTGATCATATCACTGAAATTATTTAAAAATACTTTTAAAAAAAAGATTCTTTATTAGTACATAATAATAATAATAATAATTCCTTACATTTATATATCGCTTTTCTGGGCACTCAAAGCGCTTTACATAGTGGGGGGAATCACCTCATCTACCACCAGTGTGCAGCATCCACCTGGATGACGCGACGGCAGCCATTTTGCGCCAGACCGCACACCACACACCAGCTGATTGGTGGAGAGGAGACAGTGATGCAGCCAATTGAATATGGGGATGGTTAGGAGGCCATGATGGACAAAGGCCAGTGGGCAGATTTGGCCAGGATGCCGGGGTTAAACCCCTACTCTTTTCGAAGGACATCCTGGGATTTTTAACGACCACAGAGAGTCAGGACCTCGGTTTAACGTCTCATCCGAAAGACGGCGCTCACTGAGCAGTATAGCGTCCCCGTCACTATACTGGGGCATTAGGACCCACACAGACCGCAGGTTGGGCACCCCCTGCTGGCCTCACTAACACCACTTCCGGCAGCAACCTAGCTTTCCCATGTGGTCTCCCATCCAGGTACTGACCGGGCACAGCCCTGCTTAGCTTCAGTGGGCAACCATGTGAGAGTTGCAGAGAGCTAGCTGCCGGCATCACAACCTTCAGTAGCAGAAGCTGTAAAATCTGTAAAGTTTCTATTGTCACTGGCTCTCGCTCATTGTCATCTCCTCTCCCCACGCAGATGTTAATTAGCCTGAAGAAGAATAGCTCAGACAAATGACTTTTCGGTCTCATTTGGGCCAGACTGAATCTTCCGACCAAAAGTCAAAGTTCACCAATATATTCAGGATGGTTGTCAGCATGAAACTTTTAATAATTATTGAAGCACATCTCGTCCGGTTTCTAATGTTTCTACAATTTGAAGCATCCTAGCTTTCATAAGTAGTGGTTTTCATGGCTCTTCAGTCTTTTGATCAGAATCTCAAAAAGCAATTCAATCACAAAATACACAGGAGAATTAAATAAATACGGCTGCCCATAGATAAGTGCGGCTGACTTTAATAAAAATTCACAACCACTCCAAAATACTGCTGTGCGCTGAATTTTTGATTCGCTTTGAAAAAGGGCCAAAATCTTTCGCTTTAAACTTTGGAAGGTAAAGATGAGGTTGATGTATTCTAGAGTTATGCTATAACTTAATATAAATGAAAAGAAATTGGTGAGAACAACAGCAAAAGGAGTGATAATTGATTGAAATCCTTTCCTGAAACTCTTGGTTGCATCACCATAACATTCTGAACCTCTAAACCAGCACACAGAACAACTAGTACACACTACAGTGTTTTCAGGTTGCTGTGAAATTGTTTCTAACATACTGCAATATATTCGCACTCACCTGAAGGGCTGATGTGTCTCCAAGAGATTTTGGGCTCTGGTTTCCCACTGGCTGCGCAGATGAGTGAAACGTTGCTGCCTTCGTTTACCGTAATGTCCGATGAAATGTCATAGATTTTGGGGGGAACTGTGAAACAAAACAGCAACAGTTAGACACACAAAGCTGCAAATGAGCTCAGGGCCAAAAAGCCTGGATTTAGAAAGTCAAGCATGTGGACAACAACAAGAGCCAGTGTAGCTGCAAGTAGCAATTATACCAGTCCAAACCCAATCCCACTTTATTCCGATAAAGTCATAGGTCTGTCCCCTGTATTTTAAAAGAATAAGTGTTATTTCTCCTTTATTTACACTGTCTATTGGTTGTCTAACGCATAGATGGTAATTCTACATATATGTGCCAAATTTAAAAATAAAGGTTTCATTATAACAAACTGAAATAGGCCCACTCAAGCAATTTCGATTTAAATGCCAAATTATTTCTGATAATTATTAACATTTGGAAGACATCAAATTTTCTTCCACTGCTTCATACTGACAGGGTGAAAAAAATCCTACAATTAGCTCACAAGTATAATTATAGAGTCTAAGTGTAATTTGATTTGAATGAATGATCATATGGATATGCATAGTCTATGAGCCAAGAAGCGTAATGGTGTAAAATATTCCATCAAACAGACCTAAAACTCACCAAAACCATCCATTTTTTAAACGATTTAAAAAATATTTTGGTAACACTTCAGTTGAAGGGGGTGTTCATGAGACCATAATGATGATGATATGAATATGAATGAGATTTTATGCATGCTCATTCGCTCAGTTAGCTCATTTTACAGTTTTTCCAACTGCTTACACACAAAATCTTTTCATGTCACACAAATTTTGAAACCTCTTACTCAAAATCCAAAACTACACCCCAAATATCCAAAACCAATAAGCTATTTCTCAGCCTTGAACTACACACAAATCTCTACCTAAACACAAAAATCTAAGCTACTTGCTTTCCTTTTTCCAAACACAACCAATCAAAATGTTACACTTATTCATCAGATCACACAGACACACTGTTCAAATGTGGAAACACTATTTTCTTAACTGATCACTAACCAATCACTGCTTTACTGTAGTACAGGCTTATAAATAGGTCGAAAGTGACAAGACACCAGTCTGTTCTGGTCCAAAACTGGACCTACCGCCATATTCATATCCCCTATTCACTTTTTCTAAATCTTTAATTATTCTAGAAAAGAATATAGGAATTTTTTTTAGGCTGGCTCTGCAAAGTAATGTAATGTAATGTAATGTGTATTTATATAGCGCATTTAATGTGTATGTCCATACACACAAAGCGCTTCACAATCATGAGGGGGGGGGTCTCTCCACACCACCACCGGTGTGCAGCATCCACTTGGATGATGCGACGGCAGCCACAGGACAACGGTGTCAGTGCGCTCACCACACACCAGCTATTGGTGGAGTGGAGAGACAGTGATATGGCCAATTCGGTGGAAGGGGATGATTGGGAGGCCATGATCGTAAGGGCCGATAGAGGGACTTTGACCAGGACACCGGGGTTACACCCCTGCTCTTTCACGAGAAGTGCCATGGGATTTTTAATGAGAGTCAGGACCTCGGTTTTAACGTCTCATCCGAAAGACGGCGCTCACTGACAGTGTAGTGTCCCCTTCACTTTTACTGGGGCATTAGGACTCATGCAGACCACAGGTTGAGCGCCCCCTGCTGGCCTCACTAACACCACTTCCAACAGCAACCTAGTGTTCCCTAGTGGTCTCCCATCCAGGTACTAACCAGGCTCAGCCCTGCTTAGCTTCAGTGAGTAGCCGGTCTTGGGCTGCAGGGTGATATGGCTGTGGCCAAGTGTATGATGGTCAACCTTACAGTATGTTCACATGAGGCTTCTCTGGATGCTTTTTCCTTTTTTTTTTTTTTTTTAATGGCGACCCTGTTTTGAAAACATGTGTTAGCAGTTGGAAAAAAACTGTAAATATAAAGATGACATAAAGATGTCTTTTTTATGACAGCTTGACATTATCAAAACAGCATAACTAGTCATAAATCTGTCATAGACATGAGGCCTTATGTCATGAAGCCATTATAACAGTGAACTTTATGACAGGGTCATTGATAGTTTCTTGACCTTAACTACAGACATACAAATTGAATTAAACATTAGAATTAGTGGTGTAACGCATCACAAATCTTACGTATCGGTCACATTACGGTTTTTAGTCACAGATCAGACCATTTTTTAAATCAGCCAAAAAGGGAGGAGACAAATGTAATTTGCTTTCCATTTATTACAAAAACAGCACTTCAAGAAACTTTTGGTTTTAACATGCAGAACTTTTTGTTAATAAATCTAAATAGTAAAATATTCAGTACTGTGAAAAACTTACTGTTACTACTACTGTTGTTAATAACGCTAATGTATAATGTATACATTAATGTATAAAACTAATTTGTACAACCCATATTTATTTTTATTCTCATTTTCAATAAACGGTTCAGTTATTCACTCATAAAACTTTATGTTTCATTGCTTGACGTGTCATTTTTGAAGAATTATTCAGTGCCATATTTCTGAGGGCTGGTTGTTGCCACCTACTGTTTAAGTAACATAATTGCTGCCTACAACTTTCCTTTTTGAGTCTCAAGTTAAATGCATATGACTGTGAATATAATCTTTACCATAAACATCAGTGATTTGATCTAAACTATAAACTGTTATCCCAGTACTTCTGTGTTATTTGAGTGATTGTAACTTCATAACTAACTCCAAAGACCAAAGACTGAATCTATTTCTTGATTTTTGCATTTTTCGAACACAGATTACAATAGATCACAATAAATATGGGCAAATCGCCATCATTTATAATTTATGTTGTGTGGGTGTTGAGATCCCAAATTTTAATGATTAATCGTGCAGCTTCCACTGAATGCATTAATGCAGGATAAACAAGTAATGAAAGGAAACACCTTCAATAACCTAAGAAGCTCACCAAATCCTGAATAATCTACCACAACTTCTTTAGCCCTCATTATATTGAAAGCCTAAATGCTTTCATACATGTGATTTGAAGCCCATGAGAGGCGGTCTTTCTGGGATCATTACAAATTTAGGATCAATCTACAAGAAAAAAAATGAATAATCCACAGGTCATGTGTGTTTCGTGGGTTGTGGTCCTACAAATCACAGATCAACCGTGATCCATTATACCCCTAGTTAGAATATTATTAAATTATTTGACAAAAAAAAAATTAAAAATCATTTGTTCCACTATAAAAAAGTTGGAAAAATATTTATGACACAATAATTATGGCCTCACACATGACCATTATGTTTATGACAGATTTATGACAAGATATATTGTCTTGCTAATGTCATGACAAAGACACTGACAGATTTTGTTGTCTTCAAAGTTGTCATGAATGTAATTTAAAATGTTATTTAAAATGACATAACCGAGCGAATGACACTTAATTACAGCAGTCATAAGCATACATAAAATCTCATTCACATCCCTGATGTGAGACATCATCATTATAAGCGTGTCATGACAGTCTTATGAACACCCTCTTTAAGCAAAGTGATGCCATTTATAGCTATTAATATGTATTTGTTCATAAAAGCAAACGTTGACCTTAAGAAAGGTGTGTAATTAGATCTTATCTGGTAGTTAAGTTTGTGTTATTCTTCAAGATATACCACAACAGCATGATAATGTGAGGATACAGGGGCTCATGAGACAATAATAAATTCCCATTTTTATTCCATTTTCATCTTGATCTTGAACGAAAGATAGGAAAATAGTATTTGCATGACGCCTACTGCACCATCTAATAATTACAATAAGATCTGCACTTCACATTTCAGTCAAAAACAAAGCTTGATCTTTCAAATCGGCAATTTTACATGAAATTCAAACAATAAATACGGTTTTGACAATCACCTCTTCCATTTTAGTACTAGTATAGGCATGAAAAAAATAAATGAACATCAGAAGACGCGTGTAGAAACAGCACAACTGAAATACATATCTCAAGTAATCGCTCAATCATTCTTTCAAAAGTGGAGAGATGTCAATAAATGGCTTGTAAACAATTTCACGTAACATTACCTCAGGAAAATCATTCAATGTCCATCAACTACTGAGAAAAATAACTATAGATAGGAAGGAACATTCTGTAGTACACTATTGTGGGATTCTTTTGAAGTGAAAATCCAAGATGTGATTAATGCTTTTTATGAGTATATAACTTACAATACACCTGACGTACAGTCTGTATGATTCAACTTTTCCACTATGGATTAGTGTTACACATGCGAACAAACAATGCAACCCATATAAATTCAGCAAATCGTGGAAGTACTGATATAGTAAGAGATAAGTGCATCATACCAGCCCTACCAAAGATTCTATCAGGTTATTTATTCACTATTCCCACAACTTATGTAACATCGCACAGCTAAAACCACAGCTATAGGATTTAGACGTATCCAGCAGATGTTCAGAAGTCTTTGATGCATGACATTATGAGTCATGATGCACCTCACACTCTCTATAACTGCAAAATAAAATAAGAGAAATAAATTTAGATGTAAATGTCTTCCTTCACCCCACCTTTCAGCACACAGAGACTCTACTCTTTCTCAAAACCACCATGTCAGTTGTCAGGGGGTTTATGAATAAATGTCTGACCTCCTGATTTTGCTTTCCTACATAAAAAAGCAATACATTGTCAGGAGTCTGCAAAATCAGCTATTCCCTTTGTTCTCTTTTGAGGCCCGGCTCTGATTCTGTGCCAGGCTGTTTGAAGTACACTGCATTTAACTATGCCGATTCTGATTCTTTTGACTTCCTGCTCCTAATATAATATTCCAAACACCATGTGTTTACTTGTGATGCATGCATAATGGAAAAACCTCCTGGTATTTTTTGTATGTACAGTATATCAAATGTTAAATAGAGTGGTGGTAATTAACTTATATTTTATTGCAAAAGTCAATTAATAATCATCCAGATTCCCTATTGCATCCACAAATAACCAGCTGCAATATAGATATAATAGAATAAGTGATACTCATCTGGGGGAAATCAATTAGAAGAA